GGGGTTCTTTTGTCCTTCAATGGTCCCTTTACTCTCTCAGACTATTATAGGACCAGGATGCTCTTTGATTAGTGCATTGTAATGTCATAGAGTAAGCAGGAATTTGAGAAACTGCCCATGGCATGTTGTTTCATTGCTTACACTTGCTACTGACTCCTTTATTCTTTGATTACTAAGTTCTTTCTTAACAATAGTCTTAATTATACCAGGCATTTTATTCCACAGTGGAACCTTTTCTCTGTTTTTTGCTGGTAGACAAGGTTAGTGCCCACCTTCAGAGAAGATTCACCACGCAATCTCCCTTGATGGAAGAAACCTTTCCTGCTCTTCTCTGTCGATGACCACCCCAGTCTCTCAGAGTGAAGGATGTGACAGTGTGCCCTTGCTCCTCAGGGGCAACAAAGCTCCAGGCAGGGAGTTCCATCCCTGTGAGAGAGTGCACGTTTGCTATCAAATGCAAATTCTTTATTTGAAAAGGTTGACAAGAAGGCTATTTTTACAAAAAGAATTCCAGTTGGTTAAATTTAACATCATATGAAAAAAAAATTTTTGGTCCAAGAATAGTTTCTGGCACTGTGCCCATGGTGTTTCTTTTGCTGGGAAATGGATGTATTCTCGTTCACTTTAAGTGTTTGCTGCAGTTTTTGCCTTCTGAGAACACAGTGATAGCTTCGTTGGCCTCCATAGTACTTGTCTTTCCTTCTAAAGTAACTTACTTAAAATTTATCATTGCTAACCAAGTGAATCCTGGATTCCATTTTTAGTGTTTCAATTTCTCCAACTGCTTGGCCTGGCCTGTCAAAATGTTGGATTGCCATCTTCCATTTCAGCTTACTTCTTAGTAGGAACCACATTTGCCAATTCCTGCAGCATCCCCAAAAGAAGCTGTCCTAAAATTCAAACCTCTATGTTTTTTGGCCAAGAGTTTCAAAGCCTGGAAACTTCACCAGTGCCTTCTTAGTCCATTGACCTGTTTGTGGTCTCTGCTTTTCCTACACAGTTTTTCCTTGGTCTGTGGAAGGGTTCAAAACAGTCTCTTCTGCTTGCTGAGTACACATTTTGTGCTTCTGGGCTGTCCACTAAGTGTCTTACAAATATAATCCTGATTAATCCTTCTACTACCTGTTTTAAAGGTAGAGAAACAAAAGACCAAAGTAATTAGGCAAGTAGCCTAGGGTTATCCAGTCAATTAGTGGCAATGCTAACATTTACAAAAGCATTTGCCACAATATGGAAACTTCCCTGTTGTTTTAAAAGACATACTGGAGTGCCTGAAAGTATGTGTACATTTTTTCGACTACATTTTCTCCTAAATTTTGGGTCAGCATATTTCTTGCCAGAAGTCTTCCTAAGCATCAGCATTTTATGACACATTGTTCTGTAATAATATGAACAGTGAAAAATTTGACTCTAGGTCATATTTTCCTGGTGCAAGATGGAACAAGGCAATCACCATCCAAGAGAGCAGTGGAGAGTGCTAGACAGGCTTTCAGACTGCTGATGCTCAAACTACAGTCTGAAAATATAAACATAATTCTTATTATGTGGAAAGTTGACCTGATTGCATCTGGCCAATTGATGAAGAGTCTTAGAAGCGTCTTTAAGACAAAAGTGATCTACACAGCCATCAATTCATTAAATCTAGAAGAGTCATACTCATCTCATAGAAGCCAGAGAAGCCCCTTCCTCCATGACTCCTCAGATTCTTGGGAGTGTGCTGTGTTTTTGAAAAATGACTTAGTTCTGTTTCTGTTGCTTTCCGGGGAGTATTTTCAACTTGCTCCGTCAGGAGGAAGCAAAACCAGAGGAAAGCTCCCTCACTCAGCCACCCTAGGGGAAAAATCAACTCACACATTTGGAAGAGAAAGAAGGAAAATCTTATGTAGCTTTTGACAAATTTTCTCATTATCTCTTTCATATTTTCTGGGCTGTGAACAGTGATTAGTATATTAAATTAATTCTTGGATGGTTTGCTTGACTGACTGAGCTAGAATGCTTCAAGGAACAGCAAGCGGAGATCGTCCTGTCCAGCTGGATCAGTTTCTTCCCTGTCATGCTCTGCACGTCTCCTGCTCCTCATCACAGCCTGAGGTCTCCACACTGTGTGGACAGCAAGGTGTTTAAGCCTAAGGTCAAGAAAATCTGAAATTATAGGGAAAATTTAGTTTTTGAAAACACTAATATAAAAAATGAGGCTGTGGAGGGAGGAGGGGAGAGGAGAAGAGAGAGGAAGCTCAAAGTTTCATTAGTTTCTGGAAGGCCCCATGACCATCCTGGGCACAAATATCATTACAAAAGTAATTGTCCAATGGATTATTCCTTTTTCCTGATCACAGGAAAGCTTATCCACCGGTGATATTTATTGATTCAGAAGCTCTTTCAGGTGCTATGGATGACCCAGGGAACAAAACCAAGTACTTCGTTCCCATTCTAGATACTGAAATTGAAATAGAGGAGAGGAAAAGTAACTTAAAGGAGGAAGTTTGGACAAATGAAAGAAAGGAAAAATATATTTAGCTTTATGTGCAGAATAGTTTGGATAATTATATTGTCAACTTCTGCTGGTCTTTTGAAAGGAGCAGTTAAGGCTGAATTTTTTTTTTACTCTTTTTTCGTCTTTCGAATTTCTTGTAACTTCTTTGTCATCATTTTGTTTTGTTCTTTTTCTTTAAACAAATCTTACATATTCATATCTGTTAACCTGAAGAGCTAATTTGAAGATAACATCATGTAATATAGCAACCATTGTTGAATTCCTATTACTTTGTGCTGTGAAATCTTGTATCATTTCTAATGCTTTTCTCTAGCACTATTTTGTATTCTTTAAAAATAATAAATAAATAAATAAACAAATAAAGGAGGAAGTTCAAAATTTTGCTAATAATCATAGAGAGTGATTCTTACCATTCTAGATGGATGCTTCTCATCTGTTTATGTGGTGTTCTTGTTTTTTTTTTTTATATATTTGCATTTATTTACTTGTGTAAAGAATTTGCAGGCATTTCTCCTTTTGAAGACAGTTGGGCATCCCACCGCATTTCTTTGTCATTCCCCCACTGAGTTTGTGCAGATGTCCGAGTGCTCCCCAGCCTCAGTGCCAATCTGTCAGGCCTCCGGCTGTTGCAGACAACACGGGCACTCACACGATCCATCCACATTGACAGAAGGGGAAATGAGAGACATGGACCTTGACAAGTTCTGCCACATCCAAAAAAATGAAATTGATTTAGGCCACTAAAAAACTCCAAGCTCTTTCATTAATAGGCCTTGGGAAACCACAATAAATCAGCCTATTAGGGTGCAACAGGGGTGCAAATTGGTGTCTCAGTTAATGTAGATAAAGATTTCAGTGTGTGCTGCATATATCAAAAATTTAACACATGCTGCTTGCAGAGTTTTAATGAATACAAAAAGCTCAATTGCTGAAAACCAACACAACCCAGGCATTACTTCACTTAGCTGTCAATAAAATTGTCTCTTATTTTATTTTCTAATGGTTTATCAATACTGGTAATTTGCTGCTGGTTATAAAAAAAGGGAATAAAAAAAAGAGAGGGTGGAGGGAAATGAATTCAAATGAGTCCTGCTCACTAGAAAAGAGCTTGGTAAGCCATTTTGCTCTGCTACCTCAGTTAGGGATCAGATGATGTGAGAGAGCAAAGTTTCCATTTCTCCCCAGATGCTAAACATCACGTTCCCTGAGAAGAATACCTTTGATCAAGGGTGCCCTTTGCTCTGGAAATCTGCTAGGTCTTTTGATCAGGGACATTAAGGAATTATAACTCCTCTGCTAAAGGAGTTCTTACAAGGGAAAATGGCTTTATTTATTTAACCTTTGTAATAAGCTAGCCAGTAAGAGCTACATGCCTGAACCATTTTCTGTAAAATACAGTACAAAGTAAGCACAGATACCTTTTTCTGAAGCAGAAGAAGGACTTCTATCATTGTATGAGAAACAAACAAGTCTGCTCTACTTTTTCAGGGCCACAAGGGAATGGTTTCTAATCACTGTTTTTTTCCTGCACAATTATGGAGGTGTGAGGAGAGGGGCAGTCTTCCTCCTGAATGATATTAATGTAGTTTTTAAAAACTAGATTATGGTAATGAGCCAACCACGAGAACTCATTCACTGAATGATTCATTCAATAAACATTTCTGACAGGCTAATGCATTAATAAGTTAATGTAGAGATTAACATGTGACTTATCTTATTATTGTGATTATTTTCTTGCTTGAGCAGACTTATTACAAGCTAGATGAAGTAATTGCATCTTTCATCCACAGAGGAAGGGCAACTGGACTTCTGCATCTTGTGTTCTGGGACAGTTTTGCGTAAGTCTCTTATTTCTTTCCTTTCTTCTTTCTTTTCTTCCCTTCTATCCCTTCTTTTTTTCTTTCCTCCTTCTCTTCCTTTAGTAAATAAAAAATCCTAGAGATGCATTGTTTTGAGCAAAGGCTCTGCCCCAGGCCCTAGCAGATTGGGCTAAAAACTCCAAACAGAGGCATCAGTGCTAAAATCCCACACCATGAAAGTAAAACTAAGGTACTTATTTTACTTTCCTAGAGGAAAACTCAGGGATAGAGAAAAGGACTGTGAGTAAGTCAGGACTACAGGTTAAATATCTTCAACAGACCCATTTCAATTGGTATGATAATGAAATTTTCTCTATCTTGACCCTTACACAAAAGTGCTTACTGGATGCTAACCAATGAGTTAGTTTTCTATTGTTCTGCTCCCTTTTACTGCCTCACAAAGAAAGTAACTTACTTACTTACTTACTTTATTTATTTATTTTTGTGGCCAGCTCAGCCCACCCTGGGGGCGGGTCTGACGTGGCATGTGGTGCCAGGGATTGAACCGCAGTCCCTGCACTTGCCTAAGCTTGCCTAATAGGCAATTTAGACTACTGAACTATCTTGCTAACTTTAAAGTGGCCGAGCCTGATTTTTTTTGTGTTTGTTTGTTTCTTCTGTTTTCCATTCTTTGCTTTTCAGAGTACCAACCCTCCTCTTCTTGGCTCATGGAAGGCTTATAATTTTATGGTATTAAATGTTGCGCAATATTGGAAGTGAAAATAAAGCCAACTAAAGTTGTTAAGCTAATGGTAAGCTTTGTTTTTTGATATTTCTTTTCTTCTTTCTGAGGCAGGAGAATAGGGTGTGTCAGAGCAGCTGGGGAAGTAGGAATGACCGATCAATTACAAAGTCCTAGGACACTTGCTCAGAATAGTTCTCAAAGTGCTGCATGCAAGCCCAATCAGAGTTCTGCCTTCAGTTCTTCCTAGGAGGTCGGGAGCATGTTTTGATAGGATGGCGTAGATCAGGCGTAGGTCAGCCTGAGTAGTGGGCAATACTAAAACTTGACCTCTCTGCTGCTGTGTTCTCTCACAGTAGTCCATCCTCCTGGGGGATGCAATTCTTTTTCTGCATATTCTTGTCTCAAATTTTCTCTGCAGAGCCTGCTTCTTTTCCTATCTTTAATAAGTGTAAAACTTTGCTACTGTGTCTGCTCATATTTTATTTTTACTTTTTCAAAGGTATTTAGTACAGGGTCTACAGGGTCTCTCTACACAGGTTGGACAGTGCATCCCGGGGTTAGGGCCAGCACAGCGGGCCAGGGATCTAACCCCCATCCCTGAGTCTGCCTAAGCAGGTGCTTTAGTCCCCTGAACTATCTTGTTTACCCTGTGTGTGCTAATATTGACCTTTTTTTTTTTTTTTTTTTTGCTCAGAAACCCCCTTCTAAAAGGAGACTAGCTCCTCACATCTTGGTGACATTTCCTTCCTTTTTTATTTTTTAAACTTTATTTCTTTCTCTGAGACTGGTGAGGACACACAAATTTGTTGACATCTTTATTTAGTCATGGGTTGGGGAAGATTTTGAAGTCATGAATGAATTGAAGCAGAAGGGGTCCTCAGTTGGTATAGATCTGCCTGGGGCCACATCTGTACCTCCTAGAGTAGATGGCAGTTCAGGAGGGGGATGGGAACCTAGATGATTTAGGGGGTGATCCCTACCCATGACCCCATGTGACCTTGAAAGCCAAGGAAGAGCTCTGTAGGAGCAATCATGTGGAGGGGCCTGGAGCTCCACCACCCTCCTAGATGCAGGAGGCACGGTGGCCAGGGGAATCAAAGCTGACTCACGGCCTGAGAGCAAGCCTCCTTCATCATGCAGTGCCTGACCCCAAGGAAGAAGATGCTCCAATAAATGAGCAATACTGTTTTAATCACCAGTCAATAATTCTGAAATCAAAACAGAACGAAGATTGCTGTATAAAGGCAGAGAATCATGGTGCTACCTTGCATCTGTGTTGTGAAGTAGTTTCCATTTTGTGTGACACCCTTATTGAGGTATTTTCTACTGTATTTCATCTCTTTTTTAGTGAGGCCTTATGCTAAGCAGATGGAAAGATCCATTGTTTTCCCTCCAGGGACTCTGAGTCTAGTGGGGAAGGCAGTCAAATGCACGGAACTACAACATCACAGAGGGATTCTCTTCCAGGCCTGTGGGCACAAGCTGGGATGTCCCAAAGGTAAGGTGTGTGGGAGGAGGGAGCCTGTGAAGCTCCAAGACAAGGACCAACATTGGCAGAGCCATCTGTAAAGAAGGGGTAAGAAGTTCCATGTCTATGAGATCAGAGTAGCCGGGTGCCTGGTGACAAGGATAGATGGCTGCTGAAGGTTATGGCTAATGGGCATCATCAGTGTAAAGACTGTATCAGATTAACTCCAATGAAATACCAACTTCATGGCTTATAAACGAATGACACCTAATAGAAGATTCTTTAGATTTGGCAACAGTACTGAAAATGTGTACCACGTTGCCAATAACAAGTTGTAAGATAGGAAAAAATTTCCTAAATCATTATTAGAAAAAGTAAATTTAGTTCAACCATCTTAGAAAAAAAATCTGAATTATGTTTGTAGTTTCTCTGTAATAGTAAAGTTATTTCAAAAGAAGGAAGAACCAAAGACAATGTAGCCAAAATTCAGAATATAAACATTTTTAGAGGTCTTTCAGACAATTACTGCCATTGTTAGGCTTTTAATAAAAATCCAAATACATCTAATGTTGCTTTTCTGGGGTTTTGATATTTCTAGTACTTGTTAGCTATTAAAATTTGTATTATTTTACCTTCTTTTCTTTTTTTTTGAGCAAATATGCATTATTGACCTACTCCTATGTGTATAATATGGTATTATTTTTCTTCAAAAGGATCACAAATTGTGTAAGTGTCAGGTTCCCCAAGCCCAAGAGACCCATCTGCAGAGGCAGTCTGGGCTGTAGCTCACAGAGTTTTGGTGACAGAGCTGAGTAGGAACGTTGTTTCTGCTTCCTGGTATGCCTTCTTCATGTCAAAGTTTGCAAGGAATAAGCATTGGGTTAGGGGAGGAATCACCAACAGATTGGTTCATGAATTTTGGCCACTACAGTACTGGTAAAAATTACTGGATGCCAGTGTTTGTAGGCAAGGTTTTCTCTCCAGTGTTCACAGTCTCATTCCCGACCCTTAACACCTGGGTGACAGATGAACTTGTGCTGTCTAGCCCACGAAAGCACCTGGATTGGAGCAATGACTTCTTATAGAATAGAGAGATTTTTGAGACACTAGCTCAGGACATTCCCCTCCTGTGTAGCACTGCTAGGAGATATATGCTTCAGTATTAATCTACCAGAGCACCATCCATCAACAGCTCAGGTATCTGAGTGCCTGGATACGAAAAGAACAAAAGCCATATTTTACCTGTCAGTCATCCTCAGATAGTAGGGAAGCCTGTCATGCTGGGTGTTGTGTGGACCCGTAATCTTGGGCTGAAAAAAATGGGAGGAATACAGACTCTTAGAGGGAGAAATGCTGCCCATGAGGAGAGCAGGACCAATCAAGGAATACCTTGGCAAGGATATATTTGTTTTTAGTTTCAGCCCTTGACTGCTCCATATCTGGTAATTTAAGCTCCAAAGAAAACACAATATTGCAGGTGTTCTCAGAATAACTACAGACTGAGAACTGGTATGTTTTCAGTTATGAAAGCAGCTAAAAATTCAATAACAAAGGACATGAATCCAAACCATCACATTGCTGTAAAATTTTGGCTGATGCATATAGGAAAAAGTCTTGTTAAGCAGTTAGCCAAAGTACGCTGAGAAATGATCTAACAAGAATGGCTGTGCATTTGGACTAGCTCAGTTCGTTCCTATATCAGACCTCGAGCCCATAAAGCTCCTCTCACTACTTTGCTTAGTGACAGCCCTAAGAACTTGACATACTTTACGTGTTACCTCACCTTATACTACTCATGATAAACTACATTTATCTAAGATCAAACTACATGCTATGCATGCCTTTTACATTTAGCATGTCAAATGCTCATAGCAATCTTCGTGCACTAAATGAAGAACCTGGCTCAGAAAGATTATTATGAAACAAGACCACATATCTAGGTAGTTTTAGGTTATCTGCCTAATTATAAAGTCATCAGATCTGCCTAATTGTAAAGTCATCATGGACTGCTGCCTCAGTGCAACTGTTATATGGCCTAAAATCTTCAGCCAGTGAGTTCCAGGAAGCATGGCTATTGTGAGGGCTCATGTTGCACCCAGGAGTGGTCCATGGACACAGATCCTCACCTCTGAAGCTGGTTCATTGCATGTAGCTTCCTTTTTGTTGCTAGGTTTACATGGGTTAGCTGCTAGTCACCATAATATCAACATCTGCCCGCTCCTGAACATAGTTACTTTTCTTCTTCCTAAGGAGATCTAGAATACCGAGGAGTAGGGTCACTGAGCCACTCTGTATCCATCACTAGGGACTGCATCTTCAGCCATGTCCTAGCATCGAACATTTGAGGGCCCCAGTCCTTCTTTGTTATGGCTATTTTTTCATTCCCACTTGAAAGCGACTTTGCCTTCATGCCTATGCTTTTCTTCAACAACTTCTTAGCGCAGAACTATGGCTCAGATGGGTAGACTCATTGCTATCTCAGGATTTGATGTATTCTATGGAAATAACCTCAAAATAATTGAAATGGTAGTCATAAACTAAATTCTAGGAGAAACTCAAGATATATATTTTCTCTACTTCTGTCTTCTGGAAGGACCTAATACAAAAGCACAAAAGTAGTAATTAGTATACTTACTGTTCAGAGATCTTGGCCTCTGATGCCATTTTTTACTAAAAGAAGGTCTCCTCAGAGAAAAAGCTAAATTTAGGGCTAGTGCAGAGAAAGTTCTAGAAGATCCTGGAACACCATATTATGCCAGAAAATAAGGATATGTTAAAAAATTATGAGGCTGTGTTGTAAGAATAATAGCTAAAATGAAATGGCTCCTTGCCAAACATGTCAATATAAGTAAAGATGGTGTGACTATCACCCACTGGTAGAAAAACAGTAATCTGTGACTCTGTAGTAATTTGTCTTGTAAGTAGATAACCCAAATATATAAATAAAATGAAAGAGAGGCTTTTATTGTGGAAGGCCAAATGGTGATTAGTTGTTGGGAAGGGGTCATTGGGTGAGAAGAACATTATTGCTTTTCTTTCTTTCTTTCTTTCTTTCTTTCTTTCTTTCTTTCTTTCTTTCTTTCTTTCTTTCTCTCTTTCTTTCTTCTTCTTTCTTTCTTCTTTCTTTTATGGAACTGGGGATTGAACTCAGGCCTTTGTGCTTGCCAGACAAGCGCTTATTCTACTGAGCTATCTCCCTGGCCCCCAAGAAGACCATTATTTCTGTCATGTTAAATCTACCCTTCTTACTCAGAATTGGGTTTGGGCAAAAATCATGATCAATGGGCTTTAACGGGGGATTTTTTTTTTTTTTGAAAGGGTTTTGCTATTCAGTTCAGCCTGACTTTGCGATCTCTATGTAGCTGAGCCTGGCCTTGAGCTCATGGTGATCCTGCTGCCTCAGCCTCCTAAGTGCTGGGGTTACAGGTATGTGCCACCATGCCAGGCTTAAAGTGGGAAATTTTGATGAAGATCATGATATTTTTGCATTCATAAACTACACCCCCAAATACTACTTAATAGTTTCAAGTAAATTATATGTAAACAATATAGAAATCAGATGAAAACTTGAGTAGGTAAACAAAGTAAGGTGACCAGTGAAAAGAAAATATATACTATATACATCCCAAATGTGATACCATGAACAGAGCACAATATCATTTGTGGGATATTCTGGCTAGAAATGCGTATGCAAAATATGAGATAGAAACTTTAGACACACCTCAATTTAGGTATTTTCTATTAGAAGAAAGGAGCAAGAAACTATGTTATAAAATATCAATGTTGTAGAAGAGAAGGGCTGTGGAATAAAAGAAACTAGAGAAGCATAATAAATATAGTACCTGATTCCAGGCTCAATCTTTTATTCCAGATTTTTAATTTTTATGGGTACATGTTTGTCTTCCTATACAAAATGTTTACTTTCCTCCTAGGGAGTTGCTGCTAAACATTCAAAACACATCTTAATTTTTTTCTTCACTTTCCCTCCTTCCTCTCCCCACCCCTTCATCTCTTTGTCCTCTTCCTTTTGCAAAAGATCAACCCTATCTCCCTACTTCCTGTTATTTTTTGTTTTGCTCTTTGTTTATATTTTGGGTTTCCCATATAAGAGAAACCATGCACTATGTAAGCTTGTGTGTCTGATTTATTTTTACTTAATATTATGGTCTCAAGCTGTACCTATTTTCCTACAAATGATTCAAATTTATCATTATTTGTGGTTCTTTATTGTGCAGATAGACCACATGTTCTGCATTCGTTCATCCTTGATGGACATAGAAGCTGCTTCCAAGATTTAGCTGTAAAAAATTGTGCTACTGTAGACACAGATATCGATGTATCACTATAATGTGATATCATTAACTCTTTTGGGAAGATATCTAGGAGACTAGCTGGGCTAGATGGAATTTCTAGTTTTAGTTTTTGGGGAAGTCTCCATAGTGATTTCTTTAACGGTTGTCTTAGTTTGTGGTCCCATTAACAATGCACAAATGTTTCCTCCCCTCACGCCACCCTTGCTGTCTTGGCATTGATGATGATCATTTTTTTCTGGTATAAGGCAACATCTCAGTATTGTTTTAATTTCCATTTCTCTAAAGGCCAGAGATGTTGAACATTTTTTCTTTTCATCTATTTATTGTCAACGTGTACTTCTGCAAAGTGTTTAAGCTATATTGGTTGCATTTTTTCATTGAGTCTTTCATTTTGGGGAGTATAGTTTTTCAAGTTCTTCATATATTTTATTTTATTTGTTTATTTATTTTTAATCTTTGATTTTTTTTCTTTTTGTATTTTAGGGAAGGGTCTACAGGGTGTTCCGAGTCTCACTACTAGGTCAGACTCATAGTGATCCACCTGTTTACAGCTTCCCAAGAGCTTGGATTACAGGTGCAAGACCCCATACCCAGTATGTTTTTATTTTTTTAAAGAGAATTTTTTTAAATTAGAAATAAATCCTGGAAACAACCCAAATACTCTTCAACAAAAGAATGAATAAAGAAAATATGGTATTTTTACACAATGCAGTATTAGTCAGCTATAAAACTGGATAAATTTAAGTCTTTTGTAATTAAATGGATACAACTAGAGCCCATACTCTTTTTTTTTTTTTCAGTACTAGGGATTGAACTCAGGCCCTTGAGCTTGCCAGGGAAGTGCTTATTCCACTGAGCTATCTCCCCAGCCCCTAGAGCCCATACTCTTAGGTGAAATAAATCAGACCCGCATGTGCAAGCATTATATTGTCTCCTTAGTGTAAGAACCTGAAAGAGAAAAATGGAATCTGAAGGGTACAATAGACACTGGGGAAAGGAAGTGAACTTATGCAAAAGGAAAGAGTTACTGTCTTCATATATTTTAGATACCAGTTCTAAATTTTTTTTTGTGTAGGTTGTCTCTTCATTCTTTTGGGAATTTTTTGTGCAGATGCATTTTAATTTGATATCTTACTTGTTGATTCTTGGCTCTATTTTCCGTGTCACTGGAGTTCTGTTTAGAAAACCCTTATCAATGCCCGTTTCTTTAAGATTTTTGCCTATTTTGTCTTCTAGCAGATTTATATATTTATTTACTAAAGAACACAAACTAAGAAAAAAGGCATTACAAATGATACAAAATTTCACTAAACAAAGTAATAGTAATTCAACAATGATTGCTGAATTGCATGATGTTATCTTCAAATTAGTTGTTTAGGATACCAGACATAAATGTGCAAAATTGGTTAGAAACAACAACAACAAAAGTTATAAGACATTAAAAAGAAAACACATGAATTAAGAGAAAAAAATTTAAGCATCAACTGCTCCTTCAAAAGACTAGCAGAGATCAATAGTACAATTATCTAAATTATCCTGCATATATATCTAAATATATCTTTTCCCTTTCCTTCTTTTCTTCTTTTTCTCACCCCAGTTTTTACTTCCCATTGAACAAATTCTTTCCCTTTCACAGTGTCTCTTGTACTTTTCAGATTTTTATTTACTCTTTCAGGTTCTCACACTAGCCCGACAATATTATGTTTGCACGTGTGGGCCTCATCTATTTCACATTCCAATACAGTCTCTAGTTCCACCCATTTATCTACTAAGTGTCTCTCTCAGATCTTTGATCTATTTTGATTTTTAGTTCATATATGGTGAGATCTATGGATCTAGATTCAATCTTATGCATGTGGATAAGTAGGCTGAATCTTTTACTGGAGAAATTCAAATGGTCTAAAAGCCATTTTAGGTTCATTTCAATATATTGGAATAAGGATTTAGATTAAATTAAAATTGCATTTTAATGTTAAATTATATAATGTCAGTTATCCACTAAATTAGGTCAGTGTGCTGAAATTATATAAAAGAATACCTTTTTAGAAAACAGACATTAAATTACTTAAAGAAAAATGGCACAATGTACTCAACTTTCATATGATGCAGGGAAAAATATTTTATATAATATAATTTGTATGTCATATAACATAAAATGTATCTGTATGTGGATAGATATAAAAGAATATTGTACAAATGGTAGAGCAAGTAGTATAAATATTATAAATAGGTACATCTGAGCAAGGAATGTCCGTGTACTTTGAACTGTTCATATCGTCTCTAATTTTTGATAATTTTGAAATTACTTACAAATTTAAAAACCTGCAGAGATGGGAGGAGACAGAGTTTATATATTAGCCAGAGGTAATGATTGCGATACAAAATCTGGCAATTTGCTAGCTATGGGATCTTTGGTGAGTTATGTAATCCCTCTGTGTCTTGTTTTCCTTAATTCGAAAATTAAAATAATAGTTCTTGTCTCCTAGACCTTCTCTATGAGAAAGGAGATAATAAAAATGTTTATTACTATTGTCTTGGATGATTTTTCACTGAAAAGTTGCCCTGGACTTGGAAGGTCACTTGGGAACTAGGGTGGGACTTAGAGTTTGAACATGAAGTCAGACACTGAGGACACGCGAGCCCAAGATTGAAGCTGCAGGGGTATGAGGTGTCCTTGGGAAGAGTCATGTTCTGGTCTTTCACATCTCACAGTCAAAGCCTGGGCTATTGCCAAGGTGAGGGCAAAGAGTGAGCATGCAAGGAACACTCATTCATTTTGAAATGAGAACTACTGGTACTACTGGTGACCTATGTCACCCATTCATTTAATTTCAGAGGTTCTGAATCCTGGAGCTCTTTCTAGAAGACATGATTTGGGGACAGAGTATTCTCAATAACAAAAGCATCAGTGAAAAATAACAAATGTGATCCTTGGAATTATAGTACAAGTCCTCCAGAAACAGAGGTTTCCTGGTGGAAAAGTCTGTGTGTTACCACCCAGATGCTTTCATGACAGTATGGGGCAAGAGGAGAAAAATGCTAACAGTGTGTGGGAGAGGTGGAAGGCCCATTCCATGGTGCCCACGTTGGTTTCCTAATTTGGGTAGTTTCTCTCTCAAGTTCCTTATTTGAGGACAGCTTGGGCAGTGTTATGATTAGAAACATAATCCATTCCACATATGCATCGAGGCTTAAGCAGCTGAATTGCAGAGGTCTTAGAAATAACTGCCAAGGTAGTCCATGGAAAACCACCATGCTGTTACCCTGGACGTCACAGTTTTGCTGACCTGTCTTGAGTCATGACTCTTAGTGGGGATCAGAACAGGGGCACCTGCTCTTACCTCATGGTAAGACTGTGGGGGGCAGGTTAGAACAGAGAGGGGCCTTGACTTATGGCTGAGTGTGTAGGGAAGCAGTAAAAAAATAGCAGCGAGGGAGATTTTTGTCTCCTTTCTCTCCTCCTCACTGCTTTGCTTTCTCCTTGAACTTTGTGGTCTGTATGTTGTTTCACAGAAGAGCAGCCCAATCTTACTTTGCCTTGCTGGGGCAGTGTGCTGAGGAAGAGGCCTGGCTGACAGTTGAAATTCCTCAGTCTGGCCACTTACCAACTGGGAAGTGGGAGGAACCAACCTTTCTGAGTTTTAGTTTTTACAACTGCTAATTGGGGTGATTCCTATTAATATTGTGTGGATTAACGTAGGTCATCTTCAGTGTCTAGGATTAGGCTTGACTAGGAGATGACCAGTAGGTAGTTGGTAGCATCATTATCCTTAGCCTTAGGATAAATATGGCCAGCCCTTCCTAACAATGTCTCATGGCCAGCTCCTGGATTGTAGCAAAGCTCTATAGTTATTAGTCAATCCTGCAAGGCCCAGCACATTGGTATTCCCTTTTCTTTTCAACTCTAACAGTCTTAATGTTATAAACTTGCCTGCCCTTTAACTCTCTAGAATAGCAAATCATGCTGAATAGCAATTCCTGACATAATTGATATTTACATTTTGATGGTATGTCTCTGTTTAAATTGTTATCTGGCTAAAGCATACTCACACCTGACTTACACTTCTTCTAGCCTTAGAAAGAGTCTTGCTTCCTAGAGTCCAGTCA